AGAAGCGTCTAAGTGCAAAACTATTATACTGTTTTTGCGGAAAAATCATATTTATTCTGGAATGCAGCGTTTTTCAAACTATAGATAGAATGTGCAGTGAATTCTCTTCATATTAATCATAACACCTTTCTGATAGGACAGGAAAGCTTAACCACTGTAGCAACTGCAAGAGTTGCATTTCCAATTCACTTGAAAAGCTAAACTAGAACCTGAAAGCAGAAGCCAAGCACAAATGTAAACCAGATGATTAATTCATATTTTCCATTATCTTTAACAGATAGAGTCATCATTTTCCCTCAAAAATGAGAGTTCCCACATATCCAATTATATTCCATAATTGCCCAAACACAAGCAGATTTTCCTTGCATTTGGAAATTCTGACATGATATTCATTACATTGAGTGAAAGGCCTTTTATCTGATCTGTGTCTATGGAAACATTCCTGAAGGTATAGCACTATACATTAGGAATGTCATGTGTTTAATGCATTTGCTAATCCCAAAGAAATTCACCTAGGAAGCTCAGGGAAGGCTTGGGGAACAATTGTGCAGGATCCATATCTGTTTAGGACTACCTGGAGAAGCATGAACCCCAATAACAAGGGTGCACTTGTGCCGTATGTTGATCGCTGCTATGCTGCTCGAGCAACATCTACATCTGTGCTCCTGCCGCACTTAATCCTCAGAAGCATTCAATGATAGTTTCAAGCATCCACAGTATAAAGCCAGTGGCTTGAAATGCAGAGTAAATCCTCTTTGGTCCTCTTAAGCCAGAGGTGGGCAATGTGCAGGCTGTGAGCATGAGACCCACACTGGCCCACTGGAATGACCCGGAAGACCCTGCCACTGCAGCGCTGAAATCTGCAAGCTGAATTTGGCCTCTGTAATGGTTTGCCAATGAAAATTTGGCAATTTGTTTTGCTGCCATTGCTAAATTCCACAGGGCAGTGCCAGGAGTGGGGACCAGAAAGAGAAGAGGGCAAAGAGCAGCATGCCTCCCAATGCACACACCCTGCCTAAGTGGACTTTCATTGGTAGAATTTCAAAGATGTTATCTCCTGTACTTTCACACTGCATGCCAGGAACACAGTTCTCTAAAAGAGAATTCTCAGCATCTCACCCAAGTAGTTTTCATGGGATAAAATAAATATAATATTGCATTACAGGTGTATACATAAAGCACCTCATTTTGTTGGAACAGCTGGAAAGGGGCCTCTGAGAATAACCTTAGGGTGCAAACAGGTATGCAAGGAGACCATCCTCCAGGTAACCTAGCACTAATCTATGTATGCATTTATGGCTTCATAGGTTAACACAAGCAGTCTGAATTGGACCCAAAAATAGACCGTGCATATCATGAAGCACAAGTACACTATAATCCAATTGCTTAATCCTCTTCACAATTTTACTGCATTATTTTGGATGAGTTGAAGTTTCTGGACTGTTTTCAAAGGCAGCTCCACATACATTACAATAACCCAAATGTGAGGTTACCAGAGCATGTATAACTGCAGCTAGGCTACTATTGATTGAAAAGTAGACCCAAACACTGCATTGCATTCATAGTCAGGAATGTTTCCAAGGGGAAGGAGCCATCAGTTTCCTTTTGCAATGCACACAAAGGCTATTCAATCCCAGGGAAGACTGAATATTTTATGCGTATTGCATAAAACTAGAATACGGACCAGTCAAAGTACTTACATTTGGGTTGATATAGAGCAATTGCTTCAATTAACTACAGTTTCATTAAAGTCAAGGGTATGCCACTTAAGTCTTTAACCTTTTTTATATAGATGTCCATGGATTTCAGCAGGAATTACATCAAATCAATGTGCTCAGGATCAAATGTTAACTTAAATGGGCTTGTTTATTGATTTGTAACCCAATATTTTCTCACCTCAAAAGTATGCACAGCTTGTTCTCGTTTTGCAATATCAATAGCTGCACAGTTTCATTTAATTTGCAAACAGGAGATATGTCTGAGGTATAACATTTGTCACATTGATCAATATATTTAGCCATTGCTTACTATGTGGTGGGCTACACCTGCTGCCTGCCATACAGCTTGTGCTTGCATGGAGTTCTCATCATGGTTTACAATAGCTGGATCTCTTCAAGTATGGATATGTTCCCCTACTCCACTGCATAGTGGAAAGATGCTGGATTGAATCCAGACTTCTGTGAGCAATGTTGTACTCATTGAACAAGGCAACTTGAATTTTGGCTGCAGCCCACTGTACTCTTAAAGGTTTCCTCCAGAGGTTGAGAGACAATTCTCCTCACTTATATTCACAAAAACTCCACTGGATGTAGCCCTGTTTCATTAGTTGGAGTATTCCCTTCTGTGAATGGAAAGGCACGCTTGGATCTAACTCATTGTTTCTCCATGTATGGCAACCTCACTGAGACATGGTCTTAATCTATAGAACTGTTTGTCAAAGTGACTATTGATTTATGTCAGGGGTGGGCAACTTGTAGGGGTCAGGAGAATGTGTTTTCCCCTCCTCTCCAAACCTACAAGGCATTCACTCCATCCCCACCACTGTGGTAGCAGCCAACATTGTAGCAATTTTAAAGGGGAAAGCAAGGCATGTTGGGACCATGCACCTTGTTTCCAACTGGAATTGCACTCCTGGGAGACTTCCAGAAGCATGGTTCTGCATACCGTCAAGGCACACAGTACCTCCATGCCTTACTCCCCTCCAGGATTTCAAGACTGTTGGCTGTGGGAAAAGGGGCCACAGTGGTACCCACAAAAACAGTCACAGGGCAGGGCATGTATGGCTTGTGGACCACACATTCCTATCTCTGATGGATGCAAAGGCCATAATCAACCAAGCACAGAGGCATAGTCATGTCAGTAGTTCATGATCAGGCTCATGCAACTGAGTGTACAATACAGAACAATAGCATGCATCTCTTTGCTCTGTAAAACACCTTCTACATCAATGCCTTCCCACTTCTTAACATGTTTGTCAGGCTAAGTCTATGAAACCCAGCAATGGAACCTCATATATACAAACTCATATATACAAACAAAGAGGACCATCCTTAGGACTCCCATGTTTGAATAAGGTATACTTTCTGCAACCTGCAATTTCTCCCTGCCCCCACCCCGTTTTGAATGACAGATTCCATTAACCCCAACCTGCATGGATAGTGATCAGAGATAATGGAAACATCTGGAAGACCCCATGTTGGGAAAGGCTGATACAGACTGGGGACATAATCCATGGGCATGTCCCATGAAGATATGAAGAGATGGGAGGTGGGTGTCCTTTTCTGGCATTTTATCAGATGCTTTACTAATATGCCACTGAAATATTTAATGTACTAGAAGTTCAGGGAAAACAATAAAACAACTTGCATACATTTGAAAAATAGATGTGTAAATAGTGCGGTCAGGCTCAAAACAGTTTTCCAGTGGTAACCCTAGTATTTCTTATCCTTTTTATTTATCAAAAACAAAGAAATATGCAGGATGACATTGAACATGCACTCGACTAAGTGAGAGCCTTGGCAGTTGGGCAGTATTTTTTGTTTGTTTGTTTGTTTAGTCGCAAAGTCATGCCCGACCCATTGTGACCCCATGGACAACATTCCTCCAGGCTCTCCTGTCCTCCACCATCCCTTGGAGTCCACCCAAGCTCACACCCACTGCCTCGGTGACTCCATCTAGCCACCTCATCCTCTGCCATCCCCTTCTTCTTTTGCCATCAATCGTTCCCAGCATCAGAGTTAATAATAAGAAGCAAAAGAAGCAGAAGCAGGTTTCAGATAACATTCAACTGAAACAGTTGTAGGTAAAGAAAATCCTCTGATGTTTCTCCCCCAGTGCAAAGCTGAAATTAATACAGGACATAGGAGACCTTTAAAAGGCCATTCTCTGAAACTTGATGCACATTTGCAAATTGGGTAAATTTGGTGTACCAAAATACACAGCATGGGACACACCATGACCTACACAGAAAGTCTGTGACAGAACAGCTACATCATATGCAAGTCAGCCATTCATTGATTGACCCATATTCAAAAGTAGTTGTGCTCAAAGGAAGCATCTTAGTTTTATATCCTACACTAAGTGTTAAAGTACAGAACCATCACAGAAATGTGTGACATTTGTGTGGACACAAATTACTAGGATGTTTTATGGCAAATGTATCATGAAAGCTAAGAGGGATCCTTTTCTCAGTTCCCATTTTGCTTCACAGAATGTTCTCATTATTATTATTGCAGAACAATGTCTTTTTAGCACATGCTTTAGTTCTGTAATTACTGAAAGACTATAAAGAATATAAGCCTGTGCTACACACAGTTGTTTTTCTTTGATACATTGTTTTCTTTATTAAATTAAGAATCTGCACATGAAATAAAGCAGAAGGAATTCTGCTTGGTACTTCTAAGATTAGAGCACTAAACAAAGTAGGTAAGATCCTTGCTGAAGAAACCTGAACGAACTCATAGTGTTTCAGTTATTAAAAACAAAAGACCTCTTAGATTCAAATCATGATAACTCAGAGCATCCTGGACATATCAGAAACAGAGGTAACATAAGATCATGCAGTCTCACACTAGTAAACGCTTGACAGAATATATCATTTTCTGCATTTTTGCATTTCTGAAAAACATCTGGCTATATGGATTGGAAAGCATACCAAAACAAAAAGCAGGTCAAGAGTGTTGGTTGCTATTCTGCCTGGAAACACTTTCCTTTGGGAGCCAGGGATAGCGTGGGAACACTGTTTCTTAAAATATAGTACACAAGCATGAGCCAAATGTCAATATTTCCTTTACCACTGTCAATTGACAGCTCTGCTCCTCTGATTCTGCACTGGATGCAAAACAACATTCCAAATAAAATAAGGTAATTTACCCCCAACCTAGTTCACTGTATGTATGAGACATACAATTCTCGTTCCCACCACAATATTAGACAGACACTGAGCATAAGTAGGTCACTCTCTCCAAAGTTCAGATCTGCAGGTAAAGTTCAGAACTAACCTTGCTATCTTCTGTGTCCTTGGTTTTTCCTTGGAGTGCTTTTGCTTCTCCAAAATCACAAGCTGACTTTAATGTAAACTGACAAGCAAGCATTGAGCTCTCTGCCCTAGGAAGCTCCAAAGACTTTGATGAATATTGCTGCGGCCCGCTTGTGCCAAGATTTGGTATCGGATGGGCAGTATGAACAGGCTTTGACCCTATAGGTGGCTGCCTTAGCTTTGAGGCAACCCCAAGCACAGGCATGGCTTTTATAAATGTCTCCACTTCTGCCAAAAAAGAAAATTGCTTCTGACCTCAGCTGGGCAGACTGTAGCTTCAGTGAGTTCCAGAACAAACGCTTCAAACAAAAGTTGCAGTCATCTTTCGAAAGTTTTAAAAACAATATAACGGTTTTTCATGAAGAGGCAGATCTTCTCGTTCATCTCTGTGCTTGCTCTCCTGCTCAAACAGTATTGAATGAGTCAGTGGCTGTGTAAGACTAAACGCTCCTTTGGGGCGTGAACTTTCCTTGAAGGTAATTGCCACAACGCTGCCTGTCTGGGATTAAAGAGCTCATAAATTTGCTGTTTCGTCTCCTTACACCATTACATTGCTGTAAATTAGCTGAAACAGACAGAGAGAGAGAAGCAGAAGAAACATCCTTGTATTCCAACTGAGTCTACAACAGTGGAAACAAAGACCTCTTCCTGCTTACATAAATAACCAACCCACATCTTTTAAAAAATCATTTGAGGAAGAAAAAAAAAAACTGAATCCGGGTGGTGGCCAAAGCAAACAGCTGTTAGAAGTGTTTTGAGCCGGAAACAATCACAGCAATGAAGCTGTTTGTCCCATGCCCAGCTATTTTTCACTGCTGACAGCCATAAGCTACAATACTTCATTCCTTGTTCCTCCCATGAAATCAGATTAAATTCACACAGACTAGCAATAAATGCTGAATCACAGCACTGATCAAGACTTCTGCCTTTCCTGAGATAAAACCATTTAAATACAATGGTAAGTACCAAGTCACACATGCATCATTACTCAGATCTTGCTCTGGCTTACCGATCAACATATGTTCATTATGGGATTAGCACCATGTGAAAAAGAGTGGGCATTTTATTTGTCTAACTGATCTAAAACTTTATTTAGTTGAACTTTACTCAAGAGGTAAGGTGTGGAGAAATGCTTTTATTAACCAGAATGAGCAAGACTATAGCTGCATTCTTCAACTCACTTATTTCAATACTGGCTGGAGAAATTCCACTGATTCAGGTCAAGATGATCATAGAGTAGCCAGTCTGGATGACATGAATATTTTCTTTTTGGAGTATAAACTTAGATTCACTGTTCAAAGACATCAGTGCACACATGCAATAAATGATAACCAGAATGCCTCACTGGACAGAAATTTGGGCTTAGAATCCATCAAGTCCTGAACTCAGGAACTATCTCTGCCAAAACTATTGAGGGACTTTACCGATACCAGTAAATCTTGCTTGTAGTTCTCCATGAGAATAGTACTGGCCAACCTCACAAAAATTATTAGGAGAAAGTGCTTCATAAATAGGAATAATAATGGACCACGAGCTAACATTAAAAAAAATAAAGGTAATTGCTGAAAGTCATTCATCAACACTTTGTTATACTTGGACTATAATTGATGCTATGACATATTGCCAGTCCTTAGGTGAATGGAAACATGGGTGCCTGGTCTGGCTTCTACATTGGTTTTCATTATATACAAAGAAACAGTCAGCCTCTTCTGTCACAGGTATGATAACAGCACAAGAAAGGCCATGCTGGGAGGGACAAAGAGATGCTCTCGTCTTGTATGCCATTCACAGAGTGACTAACCAGTTGCCTGTGGGAAGCCCACCAGAAGCACATGAAGGCAACAGAAAACTGCCTTTGATGCCAGGATTAGCATTTAACCATCAGGTGAGTAGCCACTGACAACCTTCTCCATGAATTTTCCTAACTGCCTATTAAAGTCAGACAAATTGGTGACCATCACTACATTTTGCAGCAGTGAATTCCATGGCTGAACTATGTGCTATGTGCAGAGGTACTTTCTTTTATCTGTCCCAGGTCTCTTACAACTTAGCTCTTTGGAATGACCCCAGATGCTCATACTATGGAAAAGGGAGTAAAATGTCTCCCTGTATGTTCTATCCTTTTGTACACCTCCATTGTATCTCCCCTTACCTACTTTTTTTGAAGTTAAGCAGTCCCATGCTCAGTAGCATCTCCTCATGGGTATTAACTCCAGTTTAACATGCCATACCAAAAGTAGTTATAGATCTCATACTCTTTTCTCAACCTCATAAGCAAGCAAGCAAGCACGTGAGTGTGATTTTGCCTATGGGAATGTGCTTGTGAAAATTGTCAGGATTAATAATTGAAAGGTGGGAATGAAGAGTATAGAGGCCATAGGCAGGGCAGGTGGGTGTCCAGGATGTGGGTGAAAAAGAGGCAGCTGAGATACATTCATTTAAGAAGCAGGTCAAAAGGCAGGCAGTAGATGGCCAACATAGTTTCAGTGGTACTAATGCTTCAGAGGCTTCAGCACTAAGGAAACTTGTGGAATAGGAAGTGGTAAACTAGGGAATCGAGAAAGTCTACCCAGACTTCCTGCATGCTCATCAGATCACATTACATAGATCAATGAACTCTTAACAAATTTTAACCAGATCCCCTTCTCACAAACACACGCACAACTAAGACTGTTAAAAGAGGCTTTTTGCCATCCAGTCTTTCATGTGGCTAGGTTTGGGTGTAATTGGAAGCCACAAGTGAATATCTCCACAGGCTTCTCATTGAAGAGGTGAGTCTTCATTTTGAATATTTGGGGTATACTGAGGACATGCCATAGTTTCTTGCTATGGGTGAAGCCAACAGGGGTGGATTTGGGGGTAGCCACCTGCAATATTAATTAGCCTAAGGATTCCGGATGGCTTGTCAACCACACCAACAGCCCGTCATGGGCAGGTTGGCAAGCAATGAGAAGCTTTGGCAGTGGGGGGCTGGAATCATCCATGGAGCCATGGCTAATAAGCTACAAGGTGCTGTGGTGATCATGCAAACCAGATTTCTGGAAGTTATGGGAAAGCTTTCTCAGTCCTGGGTTAATCCATGTGGTTTCTTTCAGTCATTAGTACAGATTCAAATAATTATACCTAGTCATCATTTTTCAGTGGGACAGAGAGATTGTGCCGACAAAAGATGGTGTTTACATTTGTTACAGGTATATCAATGTGTGATTAATGAATATACCCTTTGACAAATCAAATGTCTAAATATACCCCAATTACCAAGAGTCAACAGCAATTTGAAATCTTGAAGGGAATTATAAACATAATTTTTGTTGGAAAAAAAAACAGGAAAGGCAAACACCGTAACAAAATTGATCTGTTGGCTTCACAGTATGAAGAGCTAATGAGGCTAAGCAAAAAGCAACAGTCTTCTTCTTCAAGGAGAAGGAACAGAAAAAAGACTCTAGGCAAATACTTTTTTCTTCTTTTTTCTGCTTTTAACTTATTGCCGCTGTGTCAAGTGGTGGTAGCACAGCTCACATGGTGAAAGACCATTCCAGGGTCTCTGGAACAATGTAATGTGTCCATAACAATTTCTCAGGACCATGGATTGAGGAAGGGCCAATAGGATACTCATTCTCTCCGCAGCAATAGCCATGGAAGACTACAGCATGCAATGCATATGTGGCCATTACTCCATGGTGGAGTTTCCCTGCTGGCAAAATGTTGACGCGGGTAGGAAGAAGGGAAAACTGATAAATTTATCTAAGTCACTTCCAAGAAAATCAAACCAATTTTTCACTACCTATGCCCAAAAGTGCCTATGGAATGCCTTTGCAATGCAAGAAAGAAAGAAATGATAAAGAAGGGGAGGTGCTTTCAGATCCTTTCTAGTCTTTCTTATTTTGTAAGATTAACACTGTGCAGTGTGTGTGTCAGGAATGTATAAAACAATGAACAGTTTGGATCAGTTCAGTAGAGAAATGTTATGCAATATTAAAATGCAGTTTGCTCCATTATATTGACTGGCAATGCAGCATGCAATTCATTGCCACATGATTCAGTGAGGTTGACTTCATAAATAAATATTTTTAAGGTTGATATATCAAGAGTTCCTGGCCATGGCACTTGCTGGACTAGAGGTGCACACAGAGTTCTGAACAGCCTGGGCATCTTCCTGGTCTTCTCTACCAGGAACTTTCTTAAGATGGGAATGAAAAGAATTCCAGGTGATTTGCAATAGATCAGCAAGGTTTGCCAACTGTCCATCGTTTAACAATAACAACAACAAAAGTCATATTGAATTAAGCTTCTGAAATCAAGAAATTTTGTGGAGGAAACAGGCACAATTTTTTGCTTAAATGTTCCGGTTCTGGTACTGAAAACAAATTCCTTAGCTGAGAATTTGCTCGGCCCTGAGACATTTCTTGCATCTGGTTAGTGGATCTCAGTGTTCTAGTGAAATAGACCATGCATGTCTCTTGTCTGCCTATCCTTGTTTTAGGGAGTCTTCCAAAACTAAGATCAGCTAGGATCAACATGCTGAATTAAAGGTATGGAGTTTTCAATCCCAGTGTGTATATGCATCAAAGGCTTTGAAGTTTGTTTTGTTTGTGAGCTGTCATGAAGTTTATATTTTTCATTTACTTTGCACTTCATGTTCTTGATTTAAATCATTAAATGCCAGTTCCCTTATTGACAGTCCTAAGGGAGGCCACTCACACCTCCCCAGCATATTTTTATGATGAAGGAACATTCTTGTTCATAATTAAATAGCTGTGATATTATTTGGAAGGGTAAGACCTGCTTTGCACATAATGCCAACCCATGGTGTGTTGCCCCATCTGGGTTTTGTTTGGCAGACAACTAAACAAACTGCAATTTGTTTTCCTGCTCCCTGGGAAACAAATTTGCTTCCTTCCTTCTTCTGCTTCTTCCATGTATCCCAAATGTCTCTGCAGAGTTGTCATACTTTCTTCAGAGTGACTGAATTGGTGGCTATGGTATCACTCTTGCCTGCCTTCTGTGTAAACTGACAAAAGAATCCATGAACAAACCCCCAATTCTGGATGAATACATAATAGAAACATAGAAACACAGAAATACAGTGCTTCAGAAGGGTCCTCCTGGACCATCTAGTCTGACCCCTGGCTCCAGCCGGCTCCACTCATGACATGCCTGCCATGTGCATGTCCAGCCTGTCCTTGAATACCCTCACTGATGGGTCTTCAACCACCTCCCATGGAAGCCCATTCCATCCCCTAGGGGTTCTAACCATCAGGAAGTACTTCCTGGCATCCACCTTAAATCTT